CAAGCCATGGAAAGATATTCCCTGCAGGAGTCCCCTGGGTCAAGTCTGAGCCTGGTTGATATTTTCGGCAAAGCAGAGGGTTGAGAGTAGGGATTTTTTTAGGGCAGACAATCAGGTTCAAGGTAACAGCCGCCTGCTGCCCACATTCAGAAACGATCTTTTTGTTTTTGTTTTTGCAGTCTGGGTCCTCCTGGAGTCAGGTCCTACTGTGGATGAGGAGGGGTCTGGGCGCCTCTGACAGCCGCCTCTGCCCTTGCCGAGGCTCTGGCTTTGCGTGGCTGCTGTGACAGCTGCCCTCTTTGGCTTGAGAAGGCCTCCCAGCTCCACCTCTGCTCTGGTTGCTTCTGCTTCTGCCCTCACCTGACTTCCCGAGCAGCGGTGCTCCTGGGGCCGTGACGGTGTCCTATCTACTTCGTCCCTTCCGAGGGGGGATGCCTTTGGATGGTGCATCTGGCTCTCAAGCCACTTGGGACCAGAGGCTGCCTCCTGAGATTAGTGCAACAGGGTTTATAGAGGGCCTGGAATGTGCTGGAAACTGTGCTGGGTGTAGGAAGATGGAGGAATAAGACAAGATGCCTGATTGGGAGTTTAGCAGGACAAGCCCTTCAGATGGATAAACACAACATGGTGTGTGATGAATGCAAACCACTCGCTTTTGGGCTAACAATGTCAGATGACCTCAGTCATGCTCCTCTTTTTCCAAAGACTCCCTCACTCAGACTCTCACCTTGTCCTTGCTTGGTACAAATCCCCTTCTCAGCCCATACCCCTTCTCATAACGCCTCCACTTCCACTCAGCCACCATCCTCCTCCCCCAAACCAAAGCCACTCTGGGCTCACCCTGTTGCCCTTCCAGGTGCAGAAGAAAACCACAAAGGTAAAAAGAACTCTTCAAGGGGGTTTGAAAAAAACCTGAGAGTGAGACTCTTAACACTATTAGTCTCTCGCCACAGTCTGAGTAAGAAAATAAATAAAAATCAGCTGGAGCAGGACTGAGAGACCATGGAGAAACTCCCCCATCCAAGTAATGGCTGTTCAGGCAGTAACTGCAGGGCAGAGCCAGAGACCTCAGAACCATCTGGTTCTCCAGTGGCCCAGCTAGTGAGTTTCAGCCAACCACGCAGAGATCCAATCCTACATAACAGGGATGGGTACAATCAAATCAACAATGTGTGAAAGGCTCCTGCATCCAGGGGATGAGTGTGTCTCTGCAAGATCTCTGCTGCTGGGGAGGAAGGAAGGGAAGAGGTGGCTGTGAGAAGGAATGGAGGTGGGGGTCCTTCAAGGTGGAGGACCAGATGGCCAGACATTGGGAATAAGGACTAGGCGAGCAATTGAGCACAGGACCCAAATTCCCTTCTTAACACTTTTTCTCCCAGACAAGGAGGAGAAGGGGCTTGGTGTTACTGCTTGGGCTGAGGAGGGGGGTTCCAGCAGAGAGGCCTGATGTATATGGGGTGGCAGGGCACCCACCAAAAGGGCACACAGACGAATCACTTCCAGCCATCTACCTCTTAGTGGTGTGTGTTGTAACCTACCCTATGCTATAAGCAACTAAAATCCTTCAGAAGGATCAAAAAAACCTCACTCTACAGAAAATCACCAATACCACCCCCAGTAACAGAGTTTGGAGGCCACAAATCCAATACTGATTAGGACATTTTCTTGCTAAGTGACTTGGGGTCATGCAGTGGCCTACCTAGGGCCGGGCAGTGGGGGTGTTTCATTCCCTGTGCAGGTAATAAAAGGGAAACAAAGAATTTTAAAACAATAATAAGTCTGAGTAAAGCCAGGCTTGCTTTTATCGTCACCACGCTCCAGCATTTCTAAACAATGTCAGTGATAAATTACTTCCCCTCACCAACAACTGGTTTTTGTCTTTTCAAAATTGTTTTCTTGCAGAGAACATAACTTTTAAACAGCATTATTGAACAATAATTGAATTACAATAATCCGTGCATATTTAAAGTGTGGATTTGACTAGTTTTGAACTTATGAATACACCTGTATATACATCGACACAATCAGGATAGTGAATGTATTCATCACCCACAGACATTTCCTTGTGCATCCTGCTCCCCCTCTCACCGCCCCCCAAGGGGTTGGGAGTGGTGCTTTGTGACTTCTAAGCCATCTCAGGGCTACCACTGGCTGGAGCAGTGACTTGATGACCAAACAAAGCTGAAGGGTGTGGCTCCTCATTGCCTAGGAAAGGGTACACACAGGGATGCCAGGAACCCTGGGGTGGACCCCTGGGAGGCTTCAGCATGGCTGAAATTACTGGCAAACCGCAGTTCCAACCAACCACAAGTGTGGAACAACCAAACGCAAGTGGGCAACAGCCATCCACAAGCACTCAGAAAAGGACGGAGAGGATGACCCGCTGCCAACACAAGTGCGGAGACAGTGCCAAGGTGTGGAAGTCAGCCAAGCAGCCAGAGATGCCAACCAAAATCTCCTCTGAAACATCTATCACCTGGGCAAGAATGTGCATGAGAGAAACAAGACCCACAGTAATTGCTACCACCAGCTGATGAAGACAGTGAATGAAAACAGCAGACAGAAGCAGCTGGAGCAGAACCAAGGGACCCCACCCTGGAGAACTCCGTCCATCCCAGTGACAGAGAGTCCTGGGCCCCTACAAGTATCCGCTGTATCTCCAGAGGAGCCTGTGGAGCAATGGCTACCCACATAGAGACCAAATGTTACACCAATAGGGGACAAAGGTTGCAATTATTAAAACAAAATCAAGATATGAAAACAAAAAAAAAGAGAAGAAAAGCCTTCTGGGATGTGACCTCCCACTTCCTACAAGTCTCATATCTCTTCTGAGTTGTAGTCTAATCTCTAAGGACAAGTGCTGGGTCTTTTCCAACTCTGTACCCTGTCCTTGACCTTGAACCCTGCAGGATAACATTTAAAGAGTGCTTACTACCTGCTAAGCACTGCTACCTCATGTCATCCTCACAACACCCCTACAAGCTCAGTTCTATTATCTCGATTTTAAAATGAACTGAGTCACACACTCGATTTACCAGGACCACGTGGTAAGTAGGGGAACCAGGGTTTCAAATCCACTCGGGCCAGCTTCAGAGTGGGTGCCCTTAACCACTGCGCTATGATGCCTGCAAAACAAGCTGTCCACACATATTTACAGAACCAGACAAATGTGTGGGTGCACAGGGCTGGCTGTCTTGGGCAATCTCTTGAAGTTTAGGGTCCACATTGGGGTTCGAATGATCAAGATGGAGCTGTCTGGAAATCAGAGCTCTCGGGGAGTCCAGCCTAGCCTAACTTTACCCCTAAAGATACTCCTGCTGACCAAGTCTGCTCGCTCTAGAAAAATGCAAACTCTACTTTATGTAAAGCCTGGACATTGCTAAACACATCTAAAGTGCAGTTAACTATTACTTACCTCAAAACTGAAGCCATACCCTTCTGATGCTGGTAACGGTATGTTTAACAATTTGATTAGACCTAGACATCAATCCAGCTGATGTTACAGGAAACAGAATTATTCAGCAGCACATCACCAAGACTGAGATGATAAACAAACCCTCCATCTTCTAAAATTCAAACCCACTCCATTTCTGAATCCTTTCGTGGCTGTTTTCAACATTCTGATGATAAAATTGTGACAGTGGAGTCGTGAAAATGTATCAATGGACATACGTGCACACACACAGGTATGTACAGTTATGCCTTCTACACGGTTATTGTGGACTAGGAGGAATCTTGGGTCAGGATATGGAGGCACTGAGGCTTCCCAGGCAGCCAGGCTCCAAGTAGGGTGTGGACCAGGCACTCCCAAGACAGGGTCAGAGGGGCGACCCTGGGAGTGGATCCCCACATGGTCTCTTTTCAGATGTTTATCAGCCGCCAACAATAAACAGCATGCCATTCCACACTCCCACCTACTTTTTCTGCCTGGTTCTGTCTACTTCCCGGAAGTAAATAATAATAAAAACAGGGATGAGAACCAGCCCTGTGGGCAGAACCCATCCTCAGCACACGTCACAGGTGTCCTGGTTCAAGACAACTTGTCACAACTCACAGACTCCAGCTCACAGATGAGCCCGGGAACAGCCACTCTGTATTCATCTCGTACCTTTTATCTCAAGATCCATGCCACTCCCCTTCGTGAGGCAAGGAAGGCACTCAGCAAGTTTAAGGAGGTGCTTGCTTTGGGGGGCTGACTTGTACTTACACAAGTCTGAGGTGAGAGCCTCCGTAAGAGTGAGCTCCCCAGAGCCGGTGCTTCCTTCAGTGGTGTGTCCTGGGCACATTGCCTTGCTGCAGGAGGGCCCAATGACCCTGCTTTAGGTTCAGGCATCTCAGTAAACGTGTGTGGAATGATATACAACTCACCTCATTCTCACCAACCCACCTGGGGTTCTGTGTGGTCCAGAAGCATAGGCTCTGGGTTCTGAGCTTGCTCTGCTCCTGGCAAGCTGTGTGATGTTGGGCTAGTTCCATAACCTCTCTGAATCTGGTTTCTCATCAATAAATGAAGATTACTCCTGTCTCCCCTACAAGGTTGTAATAAGGATTAGCTGAGACTGTAAGTATTGTGTTTAGGGCAGGGCTTGGCACGCAAGGTGTGTGCCCATGGTATGGGGCACTCAGCCAATAAAAATGTTATTGTCACAGATCACGGTGCTGACAACATCCTGATTCACAGTGTAGGGTCAGTCCAGACATGAGATCTAAAAAGTAACCTTTTAACACCTTCATTAAAAGTAACTTAGCACCTTGAATGCAAGATTGTGTTAGCTTCTTTTTGTGCTGAAATGAAACGGCAGGCCCAGCATTCACCAAAGATGTGGCCTCACTGCCTAGCAACGCACTTCCTGAAACTCTTACAGGGTCCAGCGTCCAAGTGTGCCAGAGCCACAGGGGAGAGGTAGTAGGAAGGGAAACTCACCCGAAGCAGACTAACCCAGGAAGGAAAAAAGGCACTGGGGAGGAGGGGGAGGAAAAGGAACATGGGGCTCACTTACTGCTTTCATTTTGTGGACGTTGGACCAAAACTTGAAACTGCAGCCGGAGGATCCCTGGATTTTGGGCATCTTGGTCACAGCCCTGCAAAGAGAGGTTGAAGTTCCCGGCCATGTTCCCAGGTTGCTTGTCCTCCAACTTGAACACCTCGGGGTTGGTGGTGGAGCCTGGGATGTAGTACTCGACCCGCTCCTCCTTCTTCACGCAGTTGGAGACGCTGAAGTGGAGGAAGGAGACGCTGGCCCGCAGGTGCGCGGGAACGATGAACTGCCACGTCATGAGCTCGTCCTCGGGGAAGCCATCTGGGTAGTTGGCAGACATCAGGGTAGCTGAGCCTTCACCCTCGAACACAGACTCGATGATGCACAGGCCTGTCAGGGCAGAACCCAAACAAGAGAGAATAGGAGGCGATTAGCCCCTGGCTGGGTCATCCATGGCTGCGGGAACGAGGCTAGAGAAGAGGTGACGGTGGGTCTCCCGTCCTGAGCAGCGGGTCTGGATGAGGTACGTTTACACTCAAGGTAGAGAGTGAGAATGAGGATGGGTCAGTGGTGTGTGAGTAAATGTTTAATAATCAACCCAGCAGGGGAAAAAAATAAAGCCCTAACTTGTAGCGTCCGCCCATTTCCTTGGCGTCAAGACTCCCACTCTAGCTGATTTCGAGCTTCCAATGGGAGATGATGAACGTGGAGTTGGGAGGAGACGGGCAGCCTCTCACATCACAGTGTTTCCACCACCCAGACCCAATGGGCATGTATAACCTCAAAGCACAGAGAACAGTCAAATGCAGTACAGTAACTAGGAAGGCATGAGTTCTGCACACTTATTACCTTTGTTTCTAAACTAATTAATTTAAGTTTATGTAACTGGATTTTTAGTAACGGCTCTGTTTAACACCAGCTTACAAAATTGCAGAACATTTAACCATCGGCACTTATGAGCCGCTGTGAGCCACTCTAGCACACCACCGATACAATTCTAGACAACGTGGAAGAGGCAGGAGACAGGACAAAGACCTGAGAAATGGAGTAAACAAGCGGTAGGTCTATACAACCAGTCCCATTTCATTTCTTGAAAACAAGTCTCACATACAAAGGACAAGGAAAAGCCATTTCCCGGTTTGTTTAGTAGAGAAGGGGGGTTCACGTCATGAGTGGCCCACATCCTTACAGGAGAGTGGGACTTCCTTTAAGGTATTCAGATGGAATCGTACAACACTGCCAACATCTGACCACTTCTGAACCGAGAACAAGGGTGATTTGGTAGGTTTCAACCTCAGCAAACAGCAGGGAAGGCCTGGCGCGCTCACGTTTTACTGATGATCGGTTTGTGATGCTGAAGCCGGAGACGTTCCTGTTGTTGAACCAGGGCAGGTGCAAGGCCATTTTCACTCCCTCTTGCATCTTGATCCGGGACACAGTGCCGTTGCTGCAGAAGGTTCCAATCCTGACCACCGTGGCGTCCAGGCGGCCGCTGATGTCGTGAGTGACTCCGTCTGGGCAGCTCTCCCCCGGCCCGACCTGCCTCAGGCGTGGGAGGGAGAACTGCAGCTCCAGACCGATGCTCTTGTGAGCTTTGACATCCCAGACGAAGGTCCTGTTGAGGGCGGGCAACACCGACGTTGAGGGCTGAAGCTGAACCTCTCCAGAAGGACATGGGCCTGACATGCAGTCTGAAACACAGTCACAAAACAGTCTGGTCACAAATGCTACTGGGCCCCCCACTTCCCCACCTCAGCCCCTGCAGTGGTCACTTTAGGGGGTGGTGTTCCACCAGGGGGCCACCCATCTTCTGGCTGGGTGGGTGCTGGCTGCCAGCGGCTCGCGGAGGCCCCCCCTCTCTGGGAAAGTGCCTTGGCAGGGGAGGAGGGAGCAGCCCTCTGCCTTGGGGCAGAAAAGCCTGAGAGGTTTCCCTGCCCCTGACACCATCCCACCATCCCGACTAAGTTTCTTTCAAAGGCGCTTTCTTGATAAATGACTTAAAAAGCAGAATCCCCACATCATACTCTGCTACCAGGGAACCAGACCCAGGTCACCTCCTCGCTACAGGTCTCCCTGCTTTTTAAAAGTCAGCTTTACATCACTTTGCTTTTATGGAAGACTTAATGTTAGTACCCGTTTCTGACAACCAAAATAAATCCAAAGAGGATTCTCGCTTTTATGAAAAAAAAATAGTGCAAATAGCGTTTAGTGTGTATTTTGCAGGGAGCTGTCACAGAGGCAGCACGCACCTCCTTCCCCGGGAACTGCACTCGGCATTCCAGCATCAAGCCGCCGCAGCTCTGAGCTGTGTCTGTGAGCACCTGCGCTTTATCTCGATTTACTGTGTGTATCCGTTAGCAAAACATGTCCTCAGGTTGCTTCTTCGCTTCATGCCATTTTGCCTTGTGAAGAATGTCATAGGAACACTCTGCTTTTGGATACTGAGGGGAAAGCCGCATTGCTTCCCAGAGCAAGTTGGTGGAGTCCAGCTGGTGGGCCCGCGCCCAGGCCTCACCAGAAGCTACAGGGAGGCCCCCTTGCAGCGGGGCCTGTGCTTTGGGATACCCTGCTTCCTCTATCCTGCAAGTCATGATTTCACAATTTTTAGGGTGCTGCTCTAAGCTCTACCTTTTAAAAATGGTTTTCCCATCAACACACTCATCAACGACTGAGTATACACCGAATGTACAACCCCTAAATGGCTGGAACCCGGAGGCACAGTCATCTTGCCTCGTGACTTTAATGCTGGTATTTTATTACCACTGCAGGTGAATTATTTTTTCCCCAAAGGCTAACAACTAATGACAACCTTTGATGTACTTTGTTTCCTAAGCCTTTTAAAACACAGGGAAGAACGTTGCTGTCAGGGAGGCAGTGAGCGAGAACATGCAAAAGAAGTAACAGAAACCAGGCAGCCTAACAGCGGGGCTTTTGTTGTCCCGAGTACAGGGAATCTGAAAGGTGCGATGGACTCTGGCCACTGTAATAATAATCCACAAGTCTTTACTGCTGCTCTCGTGGGGTATCTGAAACTATTGCCACCTCGATGGAATTATGGGAGAATTTCAGAGCTGCTAGGACCTCTGAGGTCATCACACTAAACCTCTCATTTAGGCAAAGCAGCCCTTGAGTCCGGGTGACGGGTGTGGCACTTGAGGTGCACATGATCTCAGGACAAAAGCCCAGGCTGCGTTTAGTCAATGTGCACGCTTGTCAACAGACTGAGCTGCTTAACCAGTAAAACAAGGTTGGATAAGAAGGTGACTAGGGTAAACTGAGATTTTGTGTGTAGGTAAAGACAGTACCTATTTTTAGGAGCTCATGGAAACTTCACTGTTTTTATCAAGTTCTTTCATAGCTTTCCACCTGCACCTCCCGTGTGCCCAGAGCCACATGGAGTAGCTCTTACTGGGTCCCCGTGTCCTGTGGGATCACTTAACCCTGTTAAGGTAGTGGTTCACAGCCCTGGTTCCACACTAGATTCACTTGTGGACATTTAAAAAATTTACCACCTGAGCTTGGGCCACTCCAGAGGTTCTGATTTAATTCCATCCCAAGAACCTGGAGTCCAAAAGCCCCATCTCCTCCCAACCATGGCTCTGCCACAAGCCATGAGACCCTGGGGGGTGTCAGGGTGTGTAAGCACCTTTTAGTTTGTTGCTAAGAGCTTTGTTTTTGGAATGGACACACAAATGAAAGTAGTCAATATGATGGGCATGCCTCCAAGTCTTCTCCTGTTCCCCATCCAGTGCAAAGACGTTGAATATCTAAAATGATTTCTAACCAGAGGATGAGACGGGTCATTTCTGAAGTGATTCACAACTCCTTTCCCCCAGCACTGACTTCTACATTCATTAGCTTCAATGGGGCCCTTCAAGAGGGATGACAACAGAGGGGCCAAACTTTGAAATTTTCAGGATGTTTATTCAGAAAAGGTTTTAAAAATGAGAGGCAAGTAGAACAGTGAACTTGATTCCAATGTCTAGATTTATAATCTAAAAATTTTATCATTTGCAAAAATTTTGAGCATGAGTCTTTATTATATGGTAAACTGTGTGTGGCATCCTAGTCTTGTGAGATGAGATGTGGTACCCTATTCCTTTTATAAAATGATACTTTCTTGGCTTAATGATTATAAAAGTAAGTGCTTGTAAAAAAAAAATGACAGGACAGGCAAACAGAAAGACAAAAATGAATGTTACCTGTTCCTCTCCCAGACTCACTACAGAAATAATATAACATTAGCATTTTGGTGTTTATCCCTCCAGACTTTGGGCTCAATATGATTATAAATATTCAATAAAGTGAGATTAAACTGAATAAAGTGAGATTAAACTACATAAACTCTTTTCCTCTTATAAGTTGCATGGTTTTCACAGAACAAAATGATCTGGGTCTTTCTATGTCAAATACATAGATTAACTTCATTCTTATAATAGGAACAAGACATTCCTTTGAATTCTTAAGTATATCAATAATCCCCTCAGCTGTATAAAAGCTTTATTGAGATTTTAATTGTAATTGACTTAAACTGAGAAATTAACTTGAGGGAGAAATGATGATTTTTATATCATATTTTTACATACTGAGATTTTCACCAAGGAAAAGGGTGTATTGCTCCATTTATTAACTTCTTCTCTTTTGCCTTTCAGTAAAATTGTATATCTTGCTTCATATACATGCTATGCATTTATTAAGAATATCTCCAAGTATTTAACTAGAACTTCTTTTATTTTGGAGGGGTGTGTGTGAGGAACTTTGAGGGGAGGAAAGTGTGAGGAACCTGAGGGAGGCGGGTTTGAGGGAATCTGTGGGAGGCAGGTGTAAGAGAATTTTATTAAAAACATTTAAAATCATCTACTATAGTGATCAAATGCAGTTTCTTCCCTCTCACTTAATAACACAAGGCAGTACACATTAACTGACTGGCTAATGGTGAACTACCCTTCCAGTCTTCCAACAAGCCCTAATTTTTGGATTTGATATACTTATATATTAATCAGGATTTTTTGATATGTATATTCATAAGAGATTGGTCTATGGTTCTCTTTCTTATTCGGTGGAAGATTCTGACATCAGAGTTGTAAGATCCTTATAAAAATGAACTGTGAAACTTTACCCCTTTCAATGCTCTAGAATGGGGTTTGGCAAACAATAGCTCGTGTGCCAAATCCAGCCAGACACCTGTTATTGTTAATAAACATGTGGGATGTTCATTACCCATTTGTTTATCTATTGTCTCTAGTAGATTTTGTACTTTAACAGCAGAGCTGAGGAGTTGTGACTAAGACCATCTGGTCCATGATGCCTAAGATATTTACTATCCGGCCTTTTGCAGAGAAAGTTCGTCAAACCTTCCTCTAGAATGGTTTAAGCATCATGGAAATTACCTACTACTCGGAGTTTTATAGGACTCTTCTATGAAACCATCTCTAACTAAGCCAAACCCTCTTCTCCTTCACCTTGGACATTTTTTCCCTCCTGGTTATGTTGTTTATTCAGGTTTCCTACCTTTCTTTGAGTCAATCTGACCCATTAAATTTTCCCTGGAAATCATCCTGTCATTCAGATGTTTGCATTTATTATCATAATGTACATAGTTCCTTAAAATTTTGGAAATCACCTTTGGGTATGTCATTAAATCCATGTTTATGCATTCAATGCTGTGTATTTGTAATTTCTCTTTTTTCCAGGAGACTAGTCAGAGATTTGTTTATTTAATTGGTCTCTACAGAGAACAGGTCTTGGCTTTAGTTTTCAAACATAGTTTTAAAAACCCTTTTAGGTACTTTAAATTCCCCCTTTATTTTTATGAATTCCTTCTTCCTAAGGTTTATTTTATCCTTTTTCTTCCTCATTGATCTGTTCCTGACTCATTTATTTCCACCTAAAGGTGAAGAAATTTTCTGAGTATGGCTTTGATTAGATCAAAAGAGTGTTCTCTCTGTTGTTAATACAGCTAGTAGTTCCTCGCTGGCATCCTGTCTTGAAATGATTGGGAAAGTATACCTTTAATTCTTTTTGCCCAATTATTATTTCTTTTGTCAATCTCCTATCCCAAGCTCAAATTATGAATCATAATGATACCAAATACCTACAGTTTTTTGAATTCTGGTGTGTCATACACTCTCAATCTATTATTTTATTTCAACCTCAAAACACCCCTGCTGGTTGGTACAGTGACTCCTATTTGACAGACTAGAAAACAAAGTCACAGAGATCAGGTCACATGATCAGCAGCCCTGGAGCTTGAAGCCAAACCCAGGTCCCTCCGCCTGCAAAGTTGCCGTTTTTCCCCTTGTGCCTTGTGGACCCGTTTCCTCACTCTTATCTTCTCAACCTTCAATTCTTTTGTCCTCCAACTTCCTTGACTTTTGCTCCTGCTCAGCCAGAAGTTTTTAGCACATCAGACAGAGCACCGCCCAGGTGTCTGTAGCTTGGTCAGAAAACTGCGTGGCATAGTGGTTACAGGCCAGGACTCTGGATCCAGAGCGCCTGGCTTCCAGTGCTGCTACTTCCTAGCTGCGCCATCTTACACAACTTACTCTCTCTGTGAACTTCTCCCAGGGCTACTTTGAGGATTAAATGACTGAAACCATGTAAAACACTGAGAATCGTGATTGGCCACACAAGAGCTGAAGATTTTGCCATTTCAGAACAGATCTTATCTGTTAGCAGCAGAGGCTGGCTGAGCATGGGAAAGACAGGCGGGGAGGCCAAGCAGTCCAAGAGTGTGTACTTACCAATATTCTTCTGGATCTCAATGACAAAGTGATTCTCTGGATTCTGGCAGCTAAAGGAAAAGACTCTACTCTCTCCGGCTTTGATGGACAGCTTGGTTTCCCGTCTTGTGGAAATGATGATGTAACAGACCTTTACTGGCAGAGTTGGGGTCCCGGGCTTTATGAGAACTGAAATGCCGCTTCCAGGTGGCAGAGCGATCTCATAAGCTTCTGGAGGAAGGAAGGAAAATGGAGTGAACAGGACCAGTTAGGTCTGCCAACCTGCTGCCATCCCCTCAGCTGGTCTAGGAGGATGACCTCCTTGAACTTTGTTCCTTCCTCCCTGGTCTGAGATGGCGGAGGATGCAAAATGACAGTGCTGTCCTTGCCATGGGCTGGGCATTGACATGTGTCTTGTGTTTGGTTTATTAATTTTCCTAAAAATTACAGACACTGTACCACATCCTAAGTGTCGGAGCAGTATGGTTTCAAGTACCCCATCTGCGCAGGATCAAATAGCGATCACAGAAACCGCCACACCTCTTCACGGTATGGCTGCACATGAAAGACCATACACAGGAACCGTCTTTCCGCAGAGAGACACGTTTTCCTGCAAAGAGCCGCTGTCCCCTGCCCTGGGTGCTTCATACTCCCACTGCATACATACATACATGCAGGAGTGGAGGCCAGGACAACTTGCAGAAACTAGATATTAACCTATTGTGTCTATGAACTTGGAAAGTTAGAGCCATGTAATGCTCATATCTCAGACTGGGGGTCAGCGAAATTATCTGAACAAACAGTATCAAGCAAGAGAGTGGGTTACTAAACAGTAGGGTGGGTGCCTGCTGGGCAGGACCGGGCCCTGATTCAGCAACAAGCCCAACCTCCTTCCCATTTCCTTTGCTTTAGGGATTTTCACGTCCCTCAGACCAAAAGGAAGAGCCACTTTTCCCCTTGAGTAGCCACTGTCCCCTCCCTGACTTGGGCTCTGACTGTGGTCTCCGGGGGGCTGACCGGCTGGGGGCAGTGGATGGTGGGAGGAGGGAGCCCAGGGGCTCGCAGGAACGGCTGGTCTGCCCCTGTTATGGTGCCTGTACACGGAGTTGCTCAGTAAGCATTTAGCTAGAGAAGAGCAATTTATCCAAAAGCTCTGCCTTTTCCCCTCCTTTCAAAAATTTATTTTAAAAACCAACTTAATTGAGATATAATTTACATACATTAAAAAAGGACCCATTGAAGAGTTTTGACACAAGTGTACACACGTGTAACCACCACCACACTCAAGATAGAAAAACACTGATCACCCCCAAAAGCTCCCTTGGTGCCCTCTGCAGTTCACCTCTACTACTGTTCCCAGAAAACTGTCAAGTAGTTTTGCCCGACATGGACCTTCCTGTAAAACAGGGTGCTCCCTTTTGTAGCTGGCTTCTTTTGCTCAGCACATGTGAGTCACCCACGTTACTGTGTGGATCAGTGGTTTGTTCCTTTTTATTACTGAGCAGTATTCTGTTGTCTGGAGAGGCCGCCATTTATTTATCCAGGCACCTGTTCAGTGACATTTGAGCTTTTCCCAGTTTATGACCAACCATGCGCTTTACGGGAACTGCTGGCCTGCCCGAGCGCTGGATGCACTTCTCCTTCCGCTCAGCGCACAACCAACTGCACCCGTGTCCCCCCTGCCCAGCAGCTGTGCGGGATCAAACACTTGGATTTTTGTCAACCTCTTCATGTAGCCCTCTCTCCCCCTCTTCTCCCTGCTCCAGTCCCTCCAGCCAGCAGCTCTTTATATAGGGCAGAAATTGATCTCTCAACCTGTGATAATGAACTGCAAATATTTCCTCTAGTTTATCGGGGAAGAACTTTACCCTCTTTGGGCCTCTGTTCCTTCGTTTGTAAAATGAGGGGGTTGGGCTAGACTAGCTCTGTGTTCCCTGCCAGTTCAGGGTCTATGATCAGTTTCTGAGGAAGTAAGTGATTTTGCAGATGTAAGTATTCCCAGCTGCAGCCCAACCACATATATCTCTCAGAGTGCAGGGGCACCAGAACAGCTGACTTGTGACTTTGTTTTCAAGAGGGCTCAGGTTTACACTTTTGGAGCAAGACTTCTTATCTCTCCAACCTCAGCTTGTACCCTTCTTCATCTTGGTCACTGTGCTTGGGCCACTTTTGCCTTCTTTCTTGAACATGCCAACCTCTCTTGTACCTCAGGGCCTTTGCATGTGCCAGTCTTGATTCCCAAAATGCTCTTTCTCTTGCAAGAGCTGGTTCCTTTTTGTTATTTGGATCTCACTCAAAGATCACCTCTTCAGCTGTATAGCACAGGGAAATATACACAAAATGTTATGATAAATCACAGAGAAAAAAATGTGACAATGAGTGTGTATATGTCCATGTATGACTGAAAAATTGTACTGAACACTGGAATTTGACACAACACTGTAAAATGATTATGAATCATAAAAATAAGTAAAAAAAAAAATCACCTCTTCAGAGCAGCCTTCGCTGACCAGCCACCTAAAGTGCTCCTCCCACCCTCACCCCAATTGTCCTGCACGTGCTCTCTGTTTATCCCTGCTCTCCTCTCTGAAAGCACCGTGTAACTTGTTCCTACCTCTTGCTATCAGAACGTGAGCTACTGCCTACAGGAAGGCAGCAGGGTTTTGCCTGTCCTTTTCAGTGGTAGCTTAAGGACCCAAACAGTGCCTGGTGCCCACATGCAGGCAGATTTTATGAGCTTCCCAAGCGACATACAAAATCTCCACATTCTTGTCTTTGCTGCACTTGGTTTTTCGTAGACATATCATCACTCCTGTATTTCAGTTTGGGCTAATAAATCTTGCTGGGAACCAGGGACTCTGAGCTTTTTAATTTATAGCCTCAGAAAGAGAAAATATCCTCTGAGGCAGAAGTTTCTTTACTCAAATGCTTCATCTTCAAGCAGCCATGGCCATTGGGAATTTCTGAGAGATCAGATGGCCCAGGGGTTCCTTAAGATACCAGGTTAAGAATGAGTCCAGATGCATGTTTAGAAATCCACTTGTCAGATCTGAGCCATATACATCAACCCTTGCATTCTCTTTATGTAATTATAGAAATGTCTAACCATGTTATTTGTAAAAAAAAATCTTTGGAGCACCCCATCTCCGAAGGCTCAGCATGCTCTCCCAGGGCCTCCGACACTCTCAAGTGAAGCTGTCATCAGTCTCAGGGCTGCAGCCTCGCTGGCTAAGTTACCAATTTTTTCCTCATTCTCATTTCTCCCCTGTCTGTTTTTACACCCTTTGGCCAAAACATTAAAAAATGCCTGACCCTACAATTATGATTATTATTTCAATTGAGTGTTAGACACAGAGAAGATCAGCGGTTCCCTGAGGCTGGAGGTGGACGGAGGGGATGGAATACAAAGGGGCCGAGGAGACTCTGCAGGCTGAGAAAACCATTCGGTATCTTGACCACGGTGGTGATTATAGGTTGTACACAAATGCTACAACCCATCAAACTGTACACAAAATTGGTGAAGTTTATTATGTGTAAGTTATGCCTTAATAAATAAAAAAGAGGGGAAAAAACTTGTGCTGGAGATATTGTGTTTCTACACAAAGTAGGCACCTAATAAATGAAAAAAAGAATAATCACGACTACAGTCAAAATATGGTTTAATAATATTTTGGGAGTGGGCCTAGTTTCTCCCAAGGTATGGGTAATAATTTCAAATAGCTTTAAATGAGATGTTGAGAAGAAAAGGCTAATCTCACTAAAATTTCCCCATTCAGTTCTTCTCTCCTGCTTTCCTCCAGGTCAGCACCACAAATAATTCTGCATATATGACAGTTGATTCCATTATCAATGAGAGCCAAAGAAAAATGTATAATCTTTTTTTAGAAATTCATTTTTTCTTTTAGAATCTTTGAAATCATCTATTCATTCAAACATTTTCTGGGTTCAAACTACGGTCCAGGGATCATCCTTAGTGCAAATGATTTAATGACAAAAACAGCCGGAGTCCCTGCCCCTAGGGAGTTAATAGTTTATAGAGTAGGGGTTTCTAAATGGTCTGTGGAGGGCTTTAAAAATGATGAATACACCAGAAATTGACATAACATTGTAAACTGACTATACTTCAATAAAAAGATATTTTTAAAAAATGATGAAGTTCCAAGTCACAGTAGATCCAATGTGGGACCTGGGAATCTGTATTGGAAACACTTTTTCTCCCCCTATAATTGGAGGTTGGGATTCCCTTTTATTTATTTATTCCATATGGAAAGGCAATTGTCCCAGCTCTAATAATTGAATATGCCAGTTCTTCCTTCATGAATCGCTAATGATACCTCTGTTGCTTACATTTTTTATTTTGGGTCTAAATAACTCAGATTTTCATCCAAACTCCTTTTTGGAAAGAAAGCAGATGAAGCCTTGTAGGGGTTAAACGACTCACTTGGGGCGTACTTTTACCATCCTACCATGTTTCTGTGCTCTGATTTCAAGATGCCCAACCCAGCATGTTCTGTGGTCAGGCCACAGTTCATATCTCTCTTTCAGGGCCCCAGGCCAGAGAATCCACACCTGGCTTCCAGCTCAGAGCCCAGGGAACACTTAAAGCTAAAGACACATGGGCTGTAAAGCCAAGGCTTATGCACCTTTGCGTCAGGACACCGTTTCTATTACATGATGTTTCCTAGGATCACAGCCAAGGACACTATAGGACTGCCATTTTCAACTGACCCCCTCATCCTCAGTGATAAATATATCAGCTGGAGGGGGAGGGCGGGAGTGAGAAGATATTGATTCAACCGTGTACACACTTGAAATCTGGACCCCCCTTACCCACCCCCCACCAACTCTAAGTACCCAGGTACTTATATCACTATATTAAAAGTAGCAGAGAGACCCCCACTGCTTGAGTAAAATAGCTTATAACTCATGTTTTCACAAATGCTTGGAGTTCGAGAATGACATCTAGCTTGCACATTTTTCCTCTTCCCCACTCACCACCATTAATCATACCTTGAAACTGGAAATTCCAACACTGTGGAATAAATCTCAGCCACCTGCAACCACTCCCACTCCCTGGCCTTGATAAATGTACTATAATTTAAAGAAAATGGATGGACATTTTCTTCCTCAACATCTCTTTCTTTTGTCTCCCCCGGACCTTTGTATTTTGGAAGATCTATTACCCAAGTTCACAGAAACCCAGACAAAGCGCCAGATTCCGGCAGGATTTCGAGGTCTCACAGGCTGAAAGA